CGCACGTTTGACATTGGAATTCCGGGATAAAAACAGAGACAACACTGGTTCATGATCCTTGTGTAAGGAGTCAAACCATCGCGGCCTACATTTCCCACAATTCCACGCGGTCCGATCCTGAACGAGTGCGTCCCCGTCGCGTGTACGCCGTGAAAAGCGAAGCTTTGACTGCAATGAGAGCCGAGCGTCATTAGACTTGACGGTGAGGAGACGTCTTGCTTCTCCGCACACAGCCCAGACATGAGCAGCCGCAGAAGGAGGCCCGCCGAGCAGCTACACGGTGAGCGGCCGAGGCTTACTGCTGCTTAAAACATGATACTGTGTAATATACCTGGAAATGTTACTCCAGAAATACCATAAGTTGCAGATGAATTGTTATCTTGTTGATAATGTAATAAGTGAACAATCTATAAATTAGGGTTCTAACACACCTGTTGCTGTTATTATTATCGAGCGCAAATATCAAATACAAGCCTAAAAACTTTATTCGTAACAAGCCGAACGTGTCCTAAAACACCGCTGTGTGCGTTCTCCAGTTTAAAAATGACAAGGGGGGCCGTTGTGCTTGTTCGGCCTGACGTCATTTCGGTTTCGTGTCGGTGACGTCGCATCGATTACACGGCGCGAGGACGCGCGCATGCGCGCGCCAATATGGCCTCTGTTTTTATCTCGAAATGTCATACATACAAATACAGCGCTAATTATAATACGTTACACATTTTCTTTCTTTTGCTTCGCTTTATTTAGGTTACACTCAACGAAAGAAAATACATCGGGTCTTTCATGGTCGATGCTATAACCCAGTGAGCATTTTTTGGTTGAAAAGACGTTTAAAAGACGTCTATGCCCGACGTTGAAAAGACGTTGCAAAATGGTTTAAAAGTGAAAGTTGTTTCAACGTCTATTCGTAGACGTTGAAAAGACGTCTATGTTTAGACCACATTTCAACGTGATTTTTTAATACGGTAATATTTCGTCTTCTCTTGTATGCTATATCATTATTTTAGAGGTTTAAAAAGAAACTACGTCCACATTTGTAAGTTTACCACCGATATTATAAATCACGTTGAAAACGGGTCTATACGCGAACGTCTTTTCAACGTCTACGAATAGACGTTGAAACAACTTTCACTTTTAAACCATTTTGCAACGTGTTTTCAACGTCGGGCCATAGACGTCTTTTCAACGTCTTTTCAACGTTGAAATGCTCGCTGGTTGAAATGTGGTCTAAACGTAAACGTCTTTTCAACGTCTATGAATAGACGTTGAAACAACTTTCACTTTTGAACCAATTTGCAACCTCTTTTCAACGTCGGGCCATAGACGTCTTTTAAACGTCGGGCCATAGACGTCTTTTCAACGTCGGGCCATAGACGTCTTTTAAACGTTGTTTCAACGGATAAATTGCTCGCTGGAAACGTACAAGTTACATACTTAGTCACAGTTGTCATGTTAACATCCCTTAACAAGGACAAAGACATTATTTTATTGATTTGTATTTATTATAAATATAACACTATACATATAACAGCACTTTTGCTAATTAAAAACAATACAGAAATAAAATATATTTTTCAGGAAAATAAATTATGGAATTAAAAGTGCAGAAACAACATTTCTGTGTTCAACATTTCTGTGTTTGTAGACCATTTTTCTGAATCATTGGAACTTCATTATAGATTCTGTAACAAGATGTGGCTCACTTGAGTTGGGATAGTATACCTGAAATCAGCTGCATCTCCCTCATCCTCACTTGAGGATTCTTTGTGTAAAGGGAGTCAGAGTGCACGGAGCAGATTCCTCTGGTCAACGTGTTTATTCAATTCAAATCATTTTATTTTGTTCAGCTTTGCAATCTGTAAACATGCAACACCCTGTCCCCTAAACCCCAAAATGTAAAAAACCTTCAACCTGGAGAAACCTGAGGGGAAAACAGTAGGGAAGAAGGTGTGAACAACTTAAAAGATGTACAGTACATCCGATTCCTACAACATAAATGATTCTAATATTGTGGATTATTAAGCCAGGGGTAAGGCAGGACCAGTGCAGGGACAACCATCATCAGACGTAACCTCCATCAGATGCAACCACCACCCGCAGAAACCTGTGAGGAGGGAAGCACAACGGCAAAGTTGGTCATTTGGGTTTATGATGACAGTAATAAACTAGTAATAATAACAGCAGTAGGTGCGTTAGAACACTCATTTATAGATGGTTTACTTATTACATTATAAACAAGATAACAATTCATCTGCAACTTATGGTATTTCTGGAGTAACATGTCCAGGTATATTACACAGTATCATGCTTTAAGCAGCAGTAACTTACAATGTTTCGGCCTCTTGTTTACAGAGCACAACTTGTTGAATTCAGCCCTTCACCCTTGCAATGCAACTTAGCCACCATTGCTTTAAAAACGTATTTTTTTCAATGTGAAATGCAATAATATTTATGGGTACAGCAACAATCTAACGCATTAGCAACACCAAACACGCACAAAAATGTCTGGAATGTTTACTTTTGGTCCAGGTCATCATGCTGCACGCTAGCATGCTCCAAGCTAGCATGCTAACTAGCAAACTACCTGCTCTAACGCTAACTAGCTTAACAAAAAGGGCCGTCTTTCCTGTATCGAGTCGGCAGCACAAGTAAAACACCCGGTTATAGTTCCATGTGTGCTTCATTCAAACACTCGCGTACTTACAGAGTAGTGGAGCCGGTAGTCGTGGTTCTATCAGCCCGTTCATGTCGCTCCGCTGCCGTAACTTCGCCTCGTCCGCTCGGAGCTCTGCAGGCGTCTAAGAACTCGCGCATGCGCGTTACAGATGTGAGCGGAGTCACGTGTTTACAAGTAATGTTTGAACCTGCCCGCATTATTATGTCTTAAACGCATCTTATTGACAGCACGCAGTCCGTAGTTTCATATTTATGACGTTTTAAGCGAAATAGTAAATACGTTGAAATTACGTCTTCGCGTAGACCAAATTTCGCCGACCAGTTCATTAATTATTCTGAAAATCTTAACGTTAATATCGTCTCTCTTTCAACCTTACGTTACAACATGACACATTTATCAACAAATTAACGTTTTCTGGCACGTTGATGTTTCATCCCATTTTTAGACGGTTGAAAAGACGTTGAAATGAGGTCTTAGACGTTCAGACCTCATTTCAACCCGATTTCAACCATATTTCAACGTTGAAATTACGTCTTGTGCTCACTGGGATAAGTCAATAGCTGCCTCAACTTTTCGCTATTTTCTTTCACTCTGAACCTTCACGTCTTCTTCACACTGATGGACAAAACTATGAGTCAAAACGTACAAAGGTTGAAAACAACCTCTTTCTAAACATGCATTAATTATTGTTAACACAATCACTACACTACTTTTCTATTTTACTATGTTAGGCCTTCAAGAAAAAAAAAAGAAAAACAGAAAGAGGAAATGAAACTAGACCCAAAAGTGTGTGAAGGTGCTGTTCACCAGTCTAAAAGGAGAAGTAAAGGTTATTGTCCTTTCTCGTCTCATCAAGCCAGCGTTTTTTTGGCACTTATTCATTCATCATGGTTCTGTCTAGTAAGATTGAATCAATCGAAGGGCGTTTTTTTACCCCTTACTTTATTGGTGTCATGCCTCTGGTTTTCCTTCAGAACAAATCCAGCTGTTGTCAGGCTGCCTGAGGCAGTTTTTGGTATATTTTCTTCCCCAATCATGAAAAATAAAAATATCTCCCCAAGACAGTTCACACCCTTAAAACACAGTACAAGTTCAGCAATCTGTTACATCACAATGGAGACAGAAGTCACATTCAAATACACAAAGACTGCATGTGCAGCATGAATGGGGCCTTTTACGTTTGCCTTAAAAGATTCAACAGTTGCTCCACAGGAGTGAGCTCTGCGTTGCTTTTCATCTCCGCAGGAGGCAAGTATGTGATCAATGTTGACTGTTGTTGTTGGAGTTGTTTGGTCTCTGCTGCACACACGACAATCAGCGGCAAAAGAAAGTGGTGGCTGCTTCAATTTGGAGACTTGCTCCACCTGCAGGCAACAAATCTTACAGCCACTTCTGCTTTTTCCCTCGTGTCTGTATGTGTTTTCATCTCAACACTTTCACCAGCTTTTAGCTAAAATACGTTGTTACAGATTCAACATAATTGAGTCACATATTTCTCCAGCGGATGTTAAATTCTTGGCTAAAAACTGGTTAACTAGTGGCTGTAAAACACTAATTGTTCAAGATTTTGTAAATAAATGTGTACTTTTTCTGCTCTTGGTCAAGTAATTCTTACTGATAATTAACTGATACACAGTTGATAACGGCTAAAATAACAATCAGTCAGAATGTAATAAGTTTCACCAAACCCTTTTGCACTGACTAACCCCCCCTGATGGTCAACGGCAGGTGTGTTTGCACCCACGTTCTCCAAAGCTTATGGAAATCTGGTGTGTGACGCTTGCACCAACTCGCCCGGAACAAACGGCACAAACAGCAGTCAGTTCGTCTGCCGCAACTGCCACTACGATCTGGTCAGCATCCCGTTGTAACGAGCACTTTATAACAAACCATGTGTGAATTACTTACACTGTGTAATACATAACATGATTTATTTTCTCCCAACAGAGCAATGGTACATTGTTCCACAACCACGTTGAGTAAGGTTTTTTATTTATTATATATTTATGTACACATATATATTGCTGACTAATGAAGAGGCTCTTTTTTTCAAGAAGTTGATGTAAATTTGTTATTATTCAAATTGAAGACTCTAAAACTGTCTCCAGAGATGATGAACTTTGCAACGCCTCTCTTCTAAACGTTGTCATTCTCGTGTAATAAATTCAAAAATTGGACCGTCTGGAAGGAGATAAATCCATCTAAAAGTAGAATGAGCCATCGTATAATCTTTTGAACTATTTACTTTGTTTCCCTGTCGTGTGTTGTGTATGTGTGTGATGCTGTTGCCAGGGCCCTGGTGTACACAGTGTGCCCCCTCTTGCCCTACATCATTGGTCTGATATTCACGTTGAAGACGCACTCCCACATTTATGGCATCCATTTTGGAGAGGGACAGGGTAGGAGCCTCGCTCTCATGAATCACAGCTGAAAGGATAGTTTGATTGGTTTGAAGTGGGGTTGTCTTATGAGGGTGCTTGAGCAACCCTCCGTTTGGAGAAACAACCAGATTTTCCAGCACTGAAGCTAAATACTGTGCTGCTGTGGACGAGGACAGAAGCAAAATAGAGAAAAACTCAAAATAAGTGCTATAGACAAAACCAGTCATTTTATGTCGTATAAAACGTGAGTTTGTGGTTACCGCTTCATCTGTTTTTGTATTCATGTGGATTTTGTGTTATAAAGGATTAGTTTAGATTCAAGTCACACAGTAACACTAACTGAGTGAGGCAGCAGCAGACCAGGAGTGTTTTGTGTACTGAAAGCCAACATCACTGTTAAATAATTACTTTTTTAGGTTGCAAAAAATATATCTTTCTGCTGCAGGACATCATCTTGCCTCTGTGCTCATCTGGTACTTTTCTCCAAACTAGTGAAACGCTGATTAGATTAGATTAGATTAGATTAGATTAGATTCAACTTTATTGTCATTGCACAGGGTACAAGTACTGAGGCAACAAAATGCAGTTTAACATCCAACCAGAAGTGCAAAAAGTGCAGAGTATGTGCATATGTAAAGTGTAATAAGTGAATAAATAGATATGTACAGTAAGAAATAGTTGTGCAATATGAACAGTAAGAAATGGATATGCAATATGAACAGTAAGAAATGGATATGTAATAACAGTGCAAATGTTGGCAGGAGGAGGGTGTGTGGCAGTCAAGCCAGGGTGGAGGGGGAAGTACAGTCACTGAGGGAGATGTGTGGGGGTGGGGGGCAGAGTTCAGAGTTCAGGGGGGGCAGAGTTCAGTAGAGTGACAGCCGCAGGGATGAAGCTGTTCCTGAACCTGCTGGTCCGGGAACGGAGCACCCTGTAGCGCCTCCCAGGGGTGAGGAGGGCAAACAGTCTGTGGCTGGGGTGAGAGCTGCGCCCTCCAGACATATCTTGCTCTGGACGGCCTCGATGGTGGGGAGTGAGGAACCGGTGATGTGTTGGGCAGTTTTCACCACCCTCTGCAGTGATTTACGGATCTACTAACTTTGGATAAATACCTCATCCAACCCGACTTCAAAACATCCAAGCTATCCGTAATGGCCAACACAACCTTGTATCATGCATTATTCCACTACAACACAATGAATTGATTACCAAGGCCAATACAACCTGTGTGTGTGTGTGTGTGTGTGTGTGTGTGTGTGTGTGTGTGTGTGTGTGTGTGTGTGTGTGTGTGTGTGTGTGTGTGTGTCCCGGTGGAGGTCTCTGCTCATCATGGCCACTTTGCTCACGTCTGCTTGTGCGGATCTCGCCACCGAGCACATCCAGCCAATTCTGAACCAGCCCAACGTCTCTCAGGTCAGGAGGTCGACGCCTCTGAGCGACTCCGTGTTGTTGTGGTTGTTGTCCTCCGACGGTCCTAACCTTCACTCTCTTTCTCCAGTATTTCATTGGCGTGACATTTCTTGCAATGGTTCCTGAGATCCCAGAGATTGTGAATGGGATTCAGTTTGCCCTCCAAAACAATATCAGTCTCAGGTAAAATCCTGTAAGACAAGGGAGGCACTCATTTAAAAGAAGGGACATTTTTAATGATCTGTCTTTTCTCAGCTTGGAGGTGGGAAGCTGCATTGCTGTTCAGGTCTGCATGCTGCAGATTCCAATCCTCGTATTATTTAATGCCTGCTATGTAAGACACCCTTCAGTTTGATCATTGATTCCTTCTCAGAAATACCCACTGTTTTCTGTTCTATAGTCTCTGTAATCATATCCGTCCTAACAGGACGTGGGATTTGTGCTATTGTTGAGTGACATACACCTGTGGGCGAGTATCTTCAGTGTGATTCTTGTAAACTACATCTTCACGGACGGCAAGTCGGATTATTTCCAGGGTAAGTTTTCTGTTTTGCTCTCGTCCAAGAGGCCGGTTTAGCCATTTATCCAGATAGCTTTGCTGAGCTGTCAATGATTCTCAAGTTATTCTGCAAGAGTTCATGCCACAACAGTCCTTGGTGATTTCAAAATATCAAACAAAAAATGTCGCCACATATTTATTGCATGGTCTGTTTTGTTTAACAATCGCTTCCAGAAAATGTAGGATGTTGGTTTGATGAAATGTAATCTTCTACATGTCGGTGTACGTGTTGCCTCCCCCACACAGGCACAGCTCTGGTGGTCGTATTCCTCATTCTGCTGGCACAATGACACAACTTCTTGTGATCTTTGTAAAAAAGTAGTTTTACAATGCGGTTTAATAATATAATGTTAAGTATCTGCACTGATATTTTTTTTAGGGTAATGCTATAATATATTTGTATGCGTTTGAACTTAAACATGTTAAATGTCTGTGATAATAGTGATACTATTTTAGATAAAACACTGACACTATGGAAAATGTGGCACGGCTGGCTGTGCTAAGCAAGAAAAAGAACCTGATAATACAACAATTTGAAAAATTGGCTGCCTGTGTTTTTATTGTTGTACATACTACAGACAGGAATTACAAAATAATGTACATTACAGCCATAATTGCTTCTGAGCTTTTCTCCCGAGAGATCATGTAAAGTGGCATGTACAGCAAACTTTCATGCAAGAGACAGTTGAACTTTCATTAACATCCGGATGATGCAAACGCCTCAATCTTAAGTGAGGCCGTACATTTATCAAGTCTGAGCATGTAAGGAAGCTGCTTCATAAGATAAATAAGGCAATAACATGTCAAGCGTAAAAGTAATTCAGTTTGAGTTTCCTTATGAAAAGGGGCTTTATGATACTTAGAAGAGTTAGCTTAGTATTATACCAACAGTTACAGTGATGGTGTGAGATAAACGTTGACATTTAAACAACAGAGGACACAATAGGAGCAAAATCAGGCAACGGTGGGACAGGATACGAGCAGCTGCGAAGTTACCAGTATTTAACCGCAAAAGGTTTCATCGATGTGATCTCTGTATGCGCAGATCTGCTTTCACAAGAAGGACTGTGGTTGCCATGGTGAATGTTTGTGGAGCTCTTCAGACCGAGTCTGATCACAGTATTTCACATCCTGAGTACGCCTCAACTCTACCTTGTTACTAGATAAAACAATCCTGTGCCACTTATTTTAGTAGTAGTACCACAGCACACGGCGAAGTCCTTTCCTTACGTTACATTACAAATGGTTAAAATGGAGTTACGGCATGAACTGAACTAAAAAATGGAATGTGAAAAAAAACAAGGAGCTAATTTTTGCTACAATTGCAATAAAATAAAACAGCACCACAATGAGTAATAAGTAACAAATGTAAGTTATTGTAAATGTTATTTGAACGCCTTACTACTCATGAGCAGAAAGGTTCAGTAACAACGGCTCATGAGGTGAATCACAATCAAATTCTTTTTTTGAAAGGACTGAAAACCCCTTGACATTTAGGAAATTCAGAAAGCCCAAAACGTAGAAATAAAAAGGCCTGAGAATCACAGGAGATACTGGTGGGTGGATTAGCTTGTGACGTTTCCTTAATGTGGAATAATAACCAAAGAGGTACTTGAAGATTCACAGTGATGCCATATACAGATGTGTTAGACTGCTGAGTTATCTGCGCACGAGGCCCAACATGACGAGGGTGAACATTTAAAATTTGTACTGTACATTTATGATCACAGTTCAATATCGGCATTCTATCAGAAAGCCCTTAAAGCCAAAACACAGCGCTTTAAATAATTGACCTAGTTACAGTTTTGGATACCACTGTTATAACATCGGTTTACCAGCTGTGTGGCTCTTTTCAGATGAGCTGGTTGATGTCTAATCAACTACATGGAAATTTAGGTTAATAACCGCAAGGTTTGACACAACATTTATTTTGCCTCCCTGCTCACACGACAGAGGTGTATGGTAAATAAATCGTGAGGGATTCTTTTTTAATCAGTGCCATTTCATGACAGACTACTTCCTCCTGTCTCTGTGCGGTGTTCATTTCAGCCGCTGGATTAACGTCTGTGTCAGTCCCATGCTGAGCAGCTGAAGCGTGGACAGCTGAGCTAAGTGAGGGAACGTCTTCAGCAGTTTCTCCCAGGTCAGCTCCAGCAGGTTGGGCACCACCAACCACACTTTGTACAAGGAGCCGGACCTTCTGTTCCCATACATGTTGACGACACCACCGTGCACATACATGCAGCCCGCCTAGAGGATACAAACAGAGATTAGAACTGAAACAACTACCTGAGAGACTATTTTGCACCCCCAAATATTCTCTATTTCCAGTTTAACCAGTAGAAAACCTTTGGTTTTTCAGTTATCAAACCTGGACTGAATAGGTTTAAAAAAAAAATTATGTAGATTTCTATCTCACCCAGTGCAGAAGAGAAATCTGCTGACCACATCAGATGTAAACAATTTACTAACCGGAGTGACTGCAGCACAGTGAAAATAGGCCGGTTCAGGCATCGCTGCAAGCAGCTTGGTCCACTGAAATGTCTGCAGGTTGATTTTCCACAGGTCGGAGAGGATCAGCTCTCCGTTATAACCCCCACATATAAACACCTCTGGAGGTGGAAAGAGAGCAAGACAGTCAAGGTAAAAGCACTTCAGAAAGTTGTGTCCAGAAGATGCTGCGTTAAATAGTCCTTACCATCTTTGACCTGCACACAGCTGTGACAACGGCGAGCAGCAGGAAATCCTGTCATGATAATGACAAAGTAAATTCAATGTATAGTCCACGAGAAAAAAAAAGAAAAAGAAAAAAGGACAGAAAGTGGATCACAAACCTATTCTTCCGTGGGGTTGGGTGACCATTTCCTCCCAGTAATTTGTCTCCAAGTTATATGCATGAATCTGTTGAAGACGAATGGTATAATTAAGTAAAAAGTAGTAAATGGCAGCACACTATTATCAAACTATCTTCCTGCTTCTCTCACCTTGTCCAGTGAATATGACATCAAGGAAGTCCCACCTCCTAAAATGTATATTCTCTGTCCATCATGAGCTAGTTCGTGTCTGTACCTGTAAAGTTGTGCACTCATTCTTAGTCCATTTCAAAGTACAGCGTGAAGCTTTAACCAATTAAATAACTTCCTAGATTTTTCCGAACATGGTTAACTCCTTTTCCTTTCAGGCGCATTAAATACTTTTTGCCCTCCCAGTAAAAATCAATCTCTCTCTCTCTCTCTCTCTCTCTCTCTCTGAAAACAGAATAAGGGCAAAAGCCTGAAAAAAATATACAGTCAATACTCCAAGTGCCTATATTTGCATACTGCTTGTCGTCTCACCTCTCCTCCGGTAGATCTGATGGTGCATTGTTGGGTTTGAGCTGGGTCCACTCTTGGGTGGTCAGGTCCAGCCTGTGCAGGTCAGTACTGTAAAGGTAGCCTGTTGTCCCACCAAACACGTAGAGGCAGCCATTGATGATGACCATGGCCTGCAATGGGAGAACGCTTGTAGATGTTGTTCTGCGGAATACAGAGCTACGAATTCCTGCCGAATACTTTAAAATGTAAGAAGACAGAGAATAAGCAGCTGCACAGAGACAAAGACCGTCACCTGTCCGTAGACCTTGTTGGGTTTCTTCCCCCTGCAGTTGAGCAGGTTCCATCTTTTGTACTGAACATTACAAACATGGACGTCATTGCCGTTGTTTTCACCGAATGGAATCCCAGTGCCGCCAAATACCAGCAGGTTGTTGCCATGGAAAACAGCTGAGATGGAGAGATAACATAAAAAACAGGCATTTCTATATTACAGTTTGACAGCTTGCTTAGAACCCGTACAAGGTGGGTTAAAATCTATATAGTGGAACATTTCACTTCCTGAAGCTTTAAATTGCAGCTTACAAAATACGGTATTAAAGGTCGACTGAGACTTTTGACCACTACTGACACCAAGGATGCAGTGTTTTGATGAATTGGTGTATTGCTTGTTTCCCATGTTTAACCAGCATGCACATAAAAGGACAACATGTGGTTTTGTGCAGGAGATTAATTCTCCAATCCTTACCTGACATCAAGGCCAGCTCTGTGGGCATGTAACCCTCCGTCTGGACTTGTTGCCAGGTGGCCGTGACAAAATGAAATCGCCAAAGCTCCCTGAAAAGAGGGTAGTCCTCATTCTCTGACCCGCCCGCCTCCTCAAAATCTGGGTTGTAGCCTCCAAACACATACAGGTTGGTGCTGTCCGCGACGCAGCGGTGTCCGCTCCGGGCCGGGGGAACGCTATGTCCTGTGGGGGAGACGAGCAGGTTGGAGACAGACCGAATGGGAGAGTCAGTGGGATGATGTAAGCATGGGACATCGCGAAGCATCAATGTCAGACAAGTTAACACCAAATTACTTTAAAGTAAAAGGGAAGGACAACAAGTATGAAACATGGCCGGGATCACTCAGTCACACAGACACAGTTTATCTTCGGCCTTCAGATATTGAGGTCATAGTCTCAGCACCTTCTCTTAGAAACCTGTTGGGGATCCGCAGGTTAGGGCAGGAAGGGGAGAAGATGCGCCGAGCCTGAAGCCACCGTGCCCGCTTCTTGGAGCCTGTGTCAAATCAGTCATCACACACGTGACCGGAAAGAGACACGTGCAGAGACAAAGTTATTGCACCTGCACTTCCGGGGTTTATCATCAGAACTAGTCGGTACCGTTAATAGTGTCTCTCATGGCCGTCTGGGTGTCCATGGTGACGGTTTATGTCTCCAATTAAAACATTCACATTCAACGTATTGTTGATTTGTTAGGCCAGCGATCGGCACACATTTGTGGAGTTCACACGGAGAAAAGAAGGCTGCTTGACTGCACACAATTATTTTCCAATAATTACTAAATGGTCCCGGAGAAATAAAGCTTAATGTGTCCCCGGCATGAAGCTAATGCTCGCTGCCTCTTCCTCCTCTCCACCTTTTCTAAGAGACCTGCTCGTTCCCTGACTGGTACTTTCTGCTAGCTTCCGTAGCCTCGTTAGCTAGCTAGCCCTGACCGCAGCTGACTCGCTGACACGGAGAAGGAATAAACCACTAGTGGTGTTTCTCAGGTAGCTTTGTGCAGGTCGCGTGCTCCGGGGAGCGGTGCGTTGAGTTTACTCACGGGAGTCGCGGCTGAGGGGTCTCCACGACAGTTTCTCAAACCTATTGAGCTGATTGATGTTTCCTTCGCGTTCGGGCGACGACATCTCGACGGAGATGTCGAGGGGGGGGCTCACATCCACACCCAGACCTGGACCCGGAACCCGCTTCGCGAGCTGCAGCGATCACACCAGAACAAACAAATAAAATAACAATAGCCAGCGGGGCACATCTGCTGCTGCTGCTGCTGCCCCGCAGCGTCACAGCCAGCTGTCCCTCAACCGACCAATCAGAGGAGCGGAGACCTCCTTGTGTCGCGTTCAAGAGCCCCACGGTGATGTTTATGTTTCGCAAAGCGGAAGCGTCTCAGAATATTGAAGTGCAATGTATAAAATCGCATTTCAAGAATAGCCGAAAGCAGACAAGGGTCTGACAGAAGTACCAGATAATCAGAATAAGAAATCTAGCTTAACATTTTTGATGTTGTAAAATTTCCACATTTTTATTACATACATTTGTATTACATCATCTAGTATTGTTAAATTTTACTATTGAGATCATGAATGTCACAGGAACGTATTTTACTGTTACTTGAGGACTGTAGCATTATGTCAAGATATAAATTCACAAACAAACAAAATGTTTGAAGATGTACATCTTCAAACATTTAATATACGTATATTAAATAATATACTGCAAAACACACAAATCACAACCTTATCAAAGTAAAGATAAACAATAACATTTTTTGTTACTCCCAGTGAAACACATGGTGGGAGGGTCACCTCTTGCTCAACTGAAACAACAGTCAACCTTTCCCCCAGATCTTCTGGGTCCGCTTCGCTCTCATGTGATAATCTGGATTTGAAGCTCACAGGGGAAGGCTGAAGAAGCCAAACAGATCCATCCCACGAGAAGCTGCTTGGGCCTTTCCCATATGGACTGTGTGAAAATAAGCAGCGCCTAATTAAGAATCTTAAAAGAGAGTCCTATCAGTGACCAGTGATCATGAAAAGATCACACACACTTTTTTTTGTCTTTTTGATGTTATTTCCCTACAGTTCACACTAACAGCAGAGCGGACCTTGTAGTGGTTACAAAAAGTTTTTTTGTTTTGAACTTTTAGCCTGTGTGTTCACAATGCACCAATCAATCAATTAGAGGTTCATGTCGATCGTCCCTCACAAGATTTCTAATTGTCGTAAAAATCCTAACCAGATGTTCTGGCACACTTTATCATCATTATTGTTAAAATGTAATCTAAATATAATTAGGCTGTATATTCTTTACTCTAGAACGAGTGATAAACATGTCAACCATAAAGTATCCAACACATAAACTGACGTTAGTTAGGTTTTGTTTATCTGCAATGAGCAAGATGTTTTATTATTGGGGTAGCATTAGAAAGCACACAAAATGTTTAAACATCACTGTATTCACTAACGATTACCCTGTGGCCTTCAGCAGGAAGAGTGTCAGCATCATTTCTTAAAGTAACATTCCCTCTTCAAATAATTATTCAATAAACTGGGAAGTAGAGAGAGGATCCAGTCTATGAGATGTGATGGGGATCAACAGATTCTCAACATTGAGTGGCAGCTGTGTTGATAAGATTAAACAGGAGATGATTTGACTTCTTGGTTTATTATAGTGATCTACTCACAGATTCATAGAGGTCGTCACTTGAAACCATCTCATCCAAAGTAATCTGACTGATGCACTGAGGTACAAACACAACATCCGTTTTTTAATGCACAAAGAGATTAAAATTAATAAGCAAATCAGAATAATGCCATTCGGTTCTGCCATGTAAACTAGCCCTTAAAAATATTATTTTATATTTTCCTGGAAACATGGAAGGCCAATAAACAACTTCTGGCATGGAATCATGGATCGGACTTGAACTTAAGAAAGGGTCATTAATTGAGACCTTTGTCATGTCTATGCAATTTAATGGGGGGCGAGCAATGGTTTAAACCTTTAAAACCATTTAAAATCCACCATGCCCTTAATACGCCAACACAGACATCTACACACTCATGTAAATAACTACTCAATTAGTGACATTTGACAAAGAGTAGCGAGAGTGACTTAGAAAGAGAGAAGCTGTTGTAAGACACTTTTTGGGCTTTCTTCTTGGCTCCACAGAAACACAGTTGTCAGCATTAGCAAAGCAAAAAATGGTGTTACTAGCTGTTGTCATCGTATGAGAAGCGGGGTCTCCTGACCTCAGGAGGTCATCACATGACCACCCGACATTTTTCAAGGTACTTTGTTAAGACTTACTACTGGGTTAATATTTACTACTCCTCAAGATATGGTTAATACAGTTCCATATAGAGCAGAATACCATAACAATGTGAATGAACAGTATACAATAAAAAACATTAAATATAGCAACATTTGCCTGTAGCTTACAAATGTGGGAGCATTTCTTGATTTGACTTCAATTCCACTTTTTTTTCTTGTCCTTAAGTAATTTACTAACTTTAGATTGGTATCTATTTCTCTTTTCATAGGATGTGGAGATTTGGTTAAAGATGGTTAAAGGGGAATAAATATTTAGCTGAGTTTGATTTAAGGGTCAAGTGGAACAGGGTCTTGTTGGTTTTATCGATGTACCAGATGTGGGGAACACATTCAATTGCAAATAACAATGAGGCAAGACTAAATGTTAGAAATGCTGTTCACAGTAAAGCAATATCGAACCGCAGCATAAACTATCTTGCCCCAAGCTAACCATAAAGTACAAACCATAAAAAACTGGACATTATTAACTTGATGACCACAGGATGCATTGCAATAAGCTTATGTTATATTAGACTACTGGTATTATCAGGTGACCTTGTAGAATATAACCTACTGGGCATGTTATGCATGTCCAATTAACGGATGCTTACCAATTTAAAGTGTGTGATAAAAAGCTTAAATACTCATCAAATATTCATATTAAACTTTCTATCATTCTTGGATTCAGTGGCTGCAAAGAAACACAACTTTGGCCTCAATAAGTTAATTTCCTCATAGACGTTGGCATGATAGAAAGGCACGCATTTATTTTCGACATAGTATCTTTGCGTACTATTTGACCAGCCTCATTTACAAAACCAAATCGGAAACGATACTATAGTTAAACTCGCATCTTCTCGAGAAGGATCAACGCAGTTGTATTCGCCGTCATAAATAAAATGCCCACAGTGCAGTCGTGCAGCTCTGTGGAGTGTATTTCTATAGCTGAGCCCCTCCTCTCCTCAGTCTGGCCTCTGAGAGAGAACTAGAGAGAAACAGAGAGAAATAACTAGATACAGAACTAGAGAGAGAGAGAGAGAGAGAGAGAGAGAGAGAGAGACGGAGAGAGAGACAGACGGAGAGAGAGACACGGAGAGAGAGAGAGAGAGAGAGACAGACAGAGAGAGAGAGGGAGAGAGAGGGAGAGGGAGCGAGAGAGAGAGAGAGAGAGTCTTCAGGACAGGACACAACTAGGTAGAGCTGGTCAGGAGATCAAGTGGGCGATGTTGCAGCTGGGGTCTTGTTTGGGGACACTGTGTGAAGGTTGTTGATACAGTCCCGAGGGCCTGTAGGTATTTTCTAGCTGAAAGGTTGAGGCGGCCTTATCGTCGCAGTATTTTTAGATCATCCGGAAAGGAATACGAAGATGTCGTCTCCAAGTCCGGGCAAGAGGCGAATGGATACCGACGTGGTGAAACTGTATCCTTTTTTCTGAACATAAACAACGAGCCGAAAGAAAAAAAAAGACCAATGAAACGGGATTGTTTTAAATAACCGTTGGTGAAATGTCGCGTATGTTCCCGATGGCTGCTGTGAGGCGGTGACTAGTTGTCGCGGTGTTATTGATACGTGGTTCCAAGTGTGTATTAATGTTAGCGTTAATCACCTCGGCGGTATTAATGTGTAACTGTCTTAACGGTCGAGCCTGCCGTTGGTTAGACGTTAGCTAGCTCGCTGTTAAGTTAGCGCAGTAGCCAGGAAGCTAAATTGCACTCGCTGTTGTTTTTGTGTGTGTGTGTGCGTGAACTCATTCGCCTGTTGGCTAACGTTAGCTTGCTAACAAAGTAGCGACGCTGTTTTTTGTTTGTATCAATCGAGAATTCGCCACGGAAAAAATGTCGCAATACAACGTGGGCTGAAAAACGCCGTGTTAGCATTCGACGCCGTTAGCCTTAGCTGTGAAGCGATAACTTAGCGTGTCAGCCAACAATTTGTGGTGCAGTCGGACTGACAACGCGATACGAACGACACGCTAAAACTACTTTACATTTTGGAAATGTATGCATATGGAAAGACACGTTTATTTTGCCGTGATTTTAGTGACGTTAAGGTAAATATCGCTAGCTGTTAGCCCGCTATCGCCTAGAGAAAACCAACAGCGCCGACGTAACGAGCAGAGACGATCTTTGACAAAGTCAACAGATAATGTTAACTAATCACATTACCGTTCATTATAGTTCGTGAACACAGTGACCATGTTTAAACTTTTGGTGTACTTTCTGATGCAACCCCAATAGGAACAAATCTTGCTGATAGCAGATAAACAACCTAACCAACGTCAGTTGACGTGTTGGATACTTTACGGTTCACATGTCACGTCACACGTTCTAGAGGAAAGAATATACAGCTTATTTATATTTAGATTACGTTTCAACGATGCCAAAAGGGGAAGGAAATGTGCGAATTTATATATATATTAACATTTTTCTCAAAACCGTTATACCACAGTGTGTTTTGTTAAAATTACTTTTTGTATTATATCTCTTTGTCGTTTTTGCTTAAAGTTTGCGTGAAGGGATTTCTGGCAGCGTGAGTTGAATTGTTTTGTTTTTGTCCTGCAGCTAGATGCTGCGCTCTCATTGGTCCGCCTGTTACCATCCGGAACATGGTAGAGGGCGGGGCTTAACACACAGCTGATCGAGGAAAAACAAGCACGCTGTACGGGCCCTGTGCAGGGCTGAGGCTTGGAAAATCCAGTTCATGGCAGGGCGGTGCTATATAGTGTACTTATGCAACAACATGTTGTTATGCGTTGTTACATAAAAAATGTACTTTTTTTCTAGGCTTAATTCTTTCCTATGAACTAAATATCTTTAGCTTTTGGACTCTTGGCCAGCAAAACCAGCTATTCGAAGATATCATCCTGGCCTCTTAGAAATTCTGGTAGGTGAACTAAATAATTAAATAATCAAGCTGTTTAAATCTTACTTAATAATCCATTGTCGCTACAAATGGCACAAATAGCTTTGATGATTGGGTGGGTAACAGTTTATTACCTTTAACCTCAAATGTTATAAGGGAATAAAAAGTTTGAAATAGTTATTTTTTAAGAAGTTTGAGTTTTACATTAAAACTTATTTGGTCTTTGACTCAATCACTCAGACACAGTTTATGAATAGAAAATATCAAGGAATACTGCAAAACATTTAATTTAGAGGAATGGATCAAATTGAATCACTGTTGACTGATAATTTATCTCTTTATTCTATTCGTAACATTTAAATATCATTATCTATTTTAACATTAACATCTATAGCTCAGTATAATAACCATGTCGTTAACCCTCTCAATGCATGTCTGATTCTCTGAGTGCAGGTAGTTTTATACACAGGTAAACTTGTTTATTAGTTGGGTTATGAACTTAAAAGAATATGAAGGCATGGTCCCATGGTGATAATAACACCAAGATACAGAGAACAGCTGGCATGATCGTGGACAGTCATGTCTATAAAAAGATGCAAATAAGGGAAAATACAAAGAAAGCCTAATCTAGACATAGGGAGTGACAGCTTTTGAAACCGTCTCTTCGGTTTGTAGATATTTTGCCTCCCGATAAGCTGTTTAGAAATGTTATTTGGGCTCCAGCGGTTTGGCTAAATTAGCATATATCTGTTTTCTCGGTTAGATTGTGGAGATAGAGGTGACACAATGATTTATTACAGGATGATTCACACTTCACTAGTGCCTTTTGCGTTCTAGTTGTTTTTTCTCACACAGACCGAATGCGACCAACCTTTATGTCTCATTCTCACGTCTGTCTCTGTCCCCACACGCTGTGATATTGTCACCTCCCATCTCCTCCAGCTGTAGTTACCAGCAAAACATACGAACACTCCCATCCGTTCCTCCTTACATTAAAGGTGGTTGAAGGCCTGAAGGTTTTCCAACACAGCTTTATTGATGTCATTGCCCTCTCTCATGCTATTGATCCTCCGTTTGACTTCAGCCCGGACTAGTTAAGAGAGAGAGAGAGATTGGGAGAAATGTTGCGTTTGACCCTAAAATGTAAATCCAGCAGCCTGTTTGTTACATTTTTGTGTTTGAACTCTCTGCCTCTCCTGTTGTGTTTTCATTGAGCCTTTTCTTTAACCAAACGTCAGCATTGAGAGTAAGCATGAGGTCACCATCCTCAGTGGACTCAATGAATTTGTTGTGAAGTTTCACGGACCTCCTGAAAGTAAGTAAAAGTTTCATTGATTATTCCTCATTGACATCTTACTGGTGTACTCGATCAGCATTGAGTCCGTGTTAATTTTAACATCTGTTGAACTGTCATGTGGGACCCTGTGATACTTTGTCAATGTGTTTAACGTGAGTGTGTATATTCATGCGTTTGTCCAGCATCGTACGAAGGAGGTGTCTGGAAGGTCCGGGTTGACCTACCGGATAAATATCCCTTCAAATCCCCCTCAATAGGTATGAAATATTCTATCAAGTGTTGTGGTGAAGTCGTGAATATTTATTTACAACCATTAAATCTACTTTTTCTTTGTTCGCAGGATTCATGAATAAAATCTTTCATCCCAACATCGATGAAGCGTAAGTAGGTCCTACTGTAGTGATTGAAGCATAGCTTTATACACTTATCAACCAGCTAGCAACCTGAGAGCCACATGCCAAGAATGTCATACTTACAAACATACAAATATTGTTTCCTGAAGCATATCCTCTTGTTCGGCATATATGAAATGAATCATAGTCATGTTGTTTTTTTTAATTTGCTTTATTTACATTGTTTTGTCGTTTTCAGGTCAGGCACCGTGTGTTTAGATGTCATCAACCAGACGTGGACAGCTCTTTACGGTAGGTCACACCTTCTCAACTCTCATTGTGACTGAGTGTCGGTTTCCCCCGGCCACTCGGTTGAACTGACAGTAAGAGGCGATAAAGAAACACACAAAACAAGCAGCCTCGACAGTGCAGGTTTGGACAGAGCATCCCAGTTTAATCAGCTTACACCTTAGTGATAACTGCTGCTGGTATTGAGGCCATGTGCAAAGCAAAGGTCCTGAGGCTGAGAGGCCTCTGAACAGACAGTGAGGAAAACACTTCAAGTGAACTTCTGATCTTGTGTTCAGTTCTCCCGGTTTTACATTTGAGTCTTAGGTCTCAACTTAATCAAGCTATGAGTCATATTGTTAGTTATGTCAATATTTAAACAAATGGCATTCATTTTATAATGTGTTTTGAAGTGGCTGTGAGGGGTGACAACGGTGTAATGAGGGGTTAGCAAAGATAATAATTAAAGACTAGAAAATGCATTTCCTGCTGAAAATGCGTTGGAATGCAAAAAGCTAAAAGCTGAAATGAATATTTAATGAAAACCATGTTAAAATATTAATGATTATTGATTTATATAAATTCAAGCATAAGAGGTAGAAAGCTGAAAAGATACAGCCCGGAAGCCGGAAAGAAGCTGAATATTTTAATATTTGAAGGATTTTAATAGCTGAAAGTGTGAAGGAGTTGAAAGGTGGCATGGAAGAAATAGAAGAATAATAAGTTGAACTAGAAAATGCATTTCCTGCTGAAAATGCGTTGGAATGCAAAAAGCTGAAAGCTGAACTGACTTTTTTAAAATAGCTGAAAATACAGAAAGTTGAAGGGAATTTAAATACATTTGCTGAAATTACAGATATTAGAAAAGCTGAAATTTATTTGAAATTGCTGAAAATACAGAAATGGGAGAAGCTGAAAGGAATTTCAATAGATTTGCTGAAAAACAGAAATGAAAACAGCTGAAATAAATGTGAAATACTGCAAAACAAAACAGAAGTTGCAGGAGCTTAAATGAATTTTAAAAAGTACAGAAATAACAAAAGCTGAGATGAATAAAGAGAGGTTTAAAATTGTTTGTAGTAATATTAGTAGTAGTATTAGTTATAGTTATATAGTAATTGTGGTATTAGTAGTACTAGCAGTAGAAGTCGGTTTAGTATCAATAGCAGTAGAAACAGCTGGAATACTGATACTATTAGCCATAGTAGTATTTGTAATAACATTAGTAGTAGTTGTAGTATTAATAGCAGTAGAAATACTAGTAGTATGGTAGTAGAAGTATCAGTTGTAGTACTAGAAGTACCAGTAATATTCATAGTGGTTGTAGTAGTATTTGAAAGAGCAATACGTATTTCAACGAAACCGCTTCATGGTTAAGGTACAGATAATCATTGAGGCTTTTATTTTGTAATGATGCAATTGGGTGAGGGGGGGTTGGGAGACAGAATGTTTGTTATTCAAACTAAGACGTTTTTAATTAATAGGCCTCATCACAAACATTACTGTAAGAATTCCCTCCATGGGGCTTTTATTTTGACATTATTGGATTGGTGGGGTGTGGGGGTGTAGATAGAGAGAGGGAGGGTGAGAGGGTGAAGAAGGGAGGGGTGGTGAGAAAGAGATAGAGGGACAGAGAGAGGAGAAGAAATAGACAGACAGACTGACTGAGTGATTAACAGTAAGAAGAGGTCAGGGTGGAGGGGGGGGGGGGGGGGGGGGGGGGGTGTCTTTATCATATTGGTCTGTTGACAGAAAGCATAGCTGCGTCATGTGACTCCACTAATCAGGTCATAGGAGCAGCTGTGAGTCGCAGACAGAGATCCTGCAGCGTGTGTGTGCGAGTAACCACGGCAATGACGCACCTGGGCTCATTAACGAGCTGCTGCAAAGGGCAGACACAGGACAGCGAGTTACACAGAATCCACACCTCAAACAAATGACAACCAGCACAAAACTATAATAGTTATCTAAAAAAAATACGCTGTTTGTGCGAGACCCAAGACTCTACCGAACGCAGGGAGGTGTTATTTATGTCTGTCCGGTAAAAAATACGGCTCCTGTCGAAGTTTACAAAACGTGTACCTTCTGGATTCTTTGATAAATATGTTGGCAGATTTGTATTGGAGCCTATGGGGCTTTTAGCAGAGGTTGTGTGACTGTTGGTCTCCGTAGGCCAAAACTAAAGAACTCTGGGATTCTATGAACACATTAATCCAATCAGCACAACCATGCCCTCATTAATCTGAAGAAATGAAGCCTCTAGAGGGTATACTTTGGCTGCAAGGACAGAAGTTCCATATTTTTTTAACCAGATTCTGACGCTGCCTCACACTCTTAAGATCTCCGGGTCTCACTCTAGCAGACGCAATACACACTCATGTAAAAGTCAGAAACGGAGCGAAGAACTAGTGAAACATAATCAGTGATTATGAAAAAAGTAGAATAGATATCAACAAGCAGTTTTTTTCATAAAATAGTTGAGACTTGTGTCAACATTTGAAAGTTTAAATGGTGTCTGTAGCTGAAAGATCTGAAAGTTTAAGAGGATTTGAAAACAAACTCCATTTGAAAACCATGTTAAAATATTAATCATTATTGATTTATATAAATTCAAGTTTAAGAGGTAGAAAGCTGAAACGCCATAGCCCTAAAGCCAGAAAGAAGCTGAACATTTTAATATTTGAACGGTTTTATAGCTGAAAGTGTGAAGGAGTTGAAAGGTGCCACGGAAGAAATAGAATAAGTTGAAATAAAGAATAGAAGAACAATACTTGGAATGCTTAATGCATTCCAACAATAAAGATTCGAAGAACAATACTTGGAATGCTTAATGCATTCCAACAATAAAGAATAGAAGAACAATACTTGGAATTCTTAATGCATTCCAACAATAAGTTGAATAAAGATTCGAATAACAATACTTGGAATGCTTAATGCATTCCAACAATAAAGAATAGAAGAACAATACTTGGAATGCTTAATGCATTCCAACAATAAGTTGAATAAAGATTCGAATAACAATACTTGGAATGCTTAATGCATTCCAACAATAAAGATTCGAAGAACAATACTTGGAATGCTTAATGCATTCCAACAATAAAGAATAGAAGAACAATACTTGGAATGCTTAATGCATTCCAACAATAATCATGATGACTGTTTGAACGGCTGACGCCTATGAAAGTCAATATAGTCACTAGCCTTCATCTAAATTAGCAACAGTTATCATTTTGTCGCGGCGTTTTAAAAAACCCGTAATGACATTATATTCAATGTCCAAAAATTATATTAATTGATGACTATCAGTAAAAAATAATAATTAAAATTCAGTACTTATCTAAAACCAGAGCTGACACTATTTTAATTGGACACACAAACATAAAATGCTACAAAAATGTATCATGTATTTTTTACTTGTAACAATTATTAAACTAGAGTGTGTGTGGCGTTGGGGAGCGCTGTCAGAACCCGAGCGCCCTTCACTCAAAATGCCTCTTTTGTGCTGAATGTTAACCAGTTTTTTTTTACAGCAGCGATTCCCAAAGTGTGGGCCGCGAAGGTAATGCAGGTGGGCCGCAAGAGGTCATTTACAATAAATAAATAAAATGTTTTTAATTTTCAATTTTGAAGAGTTTGAAATTATTAATTAATTATTATTAATTATTATTATCATTTTCCGCACTCCAAGGCGCACTTAAAAGCCTTTGATATTCTCAAACGACAGTACGATTTATAATCCGGAGCACCTTATATATGGATCAATTGGTTAATCGGTTGATCCATACTGGTTGTACACGGTGCTCAAGACGCTTTGTGAAACATGCCAAAGCTCGTCTACGACGGTGAGATGCTGAGCGGCGCTCAAGCTCGTGAGATATGGAGCTTGTTTCAGTGCGCGTGGGAGAAACAAAGCTGTCGTTCTCGCCGAGCACTTCATGAGATTAAAGAGCGAGAGACGGCGCCCTTTTCTCTACAGTAGCTGAACCATCTTAACGGGGAAATAAGTTATTCTAAAAGGAGCCCTTGGCAGACGGCGTGGCTGGAGAGCAGCCGAAGGAGACGAGAATCTGCACCGTGCGGCCATGTCACAGAAGATGAATGAGTGCTGACCAGAATACAGGACTCCTGTTTAAATTTAAACATGTCATTGCAAGAGCGATCTCTAGTGGACCGTGTTGTAACTGCACACAAGATCTGTTGCAGTGATAACTTCTCATCCAGCTTGCTGATGTTTCTCTGTAGCTTTGTGGTTCTCTGCGCTGACCTCATCTTTCTCTCCGTATCCATCAGACCTCACCAACATCTTTGAGTCGTTCCTCCCTCAGCTGCTCGCCTACCCAAACCCCATCGATCCTCTGAATGGGGACGCAGCTGCCATGTACCTGCACCGACCCGAGGATTATAAGCAAAAGATCCAAGGTAGCGCACAAGAGTCTAACACTGAAAATTGGCAGAGGCGATTAAGATAATAAAAAAATGAGTAGGCTCAGTGTAGAACAGGGGTGCCCACACAGCGCATAACGAGTCGATATGAAGAAAACAACGAGCCTCTCATCTGTCAGAAGGAGGAAACGCGTCACAAGCATCGCGCACATTCTTGGTCATTACCTTACTGGAGTCATCCTGGGTGGCATTGGAATGAAATTAAATGCGTCCGTTAGTAAGCAAGGATGGCTAATTAGCGTTAGTTTCGGTCATCTCCCGCGGTAGACCGTGCATGACATCACAACGTCATTTTTTTTATCGATGGCAAGCGATTGAGAGGTACTGCCTTTGAGATTGCATTCGACCTATTGGGCACCCCTGGTGGAGGGTATCCCTGTTTTTCTCAATATTTATGGATTTTCACATTTCCAAAATGCAATTTGGGATTTCCAAAGAACTACTTAAGTTACAGAGATTCAATTCACATTTGTGAAGTTTAAACTTAAATCATAAGCCATCTCGGGCTAATACAGTTCATATTTCAACAGAAAACATTATTATTAGGAGACTTGTTTTTGACCGCAGTCTAAAATCTGCAAAATAAAATGGAAATTTATTGTGCGTTTCCATTCACTACAGTGAAGCCAATATAAGGAGTTTGCTATTGAGATAAACAATGGCCGGTGCCTTTTCTTCCCTTTGCGGTTTAACTGTCAGAGGAGAGGCACAAAGGGATGAAGTTATTAGAACGCGTCAATAACACCTCAAATGTTGCAAAATGATGTGGAAACTGCGACAACTTTATAGCCTGATTTTCAGATTACATTTTTTATACACACATAAAAGTTGAACGCAATAGATTTCATCCTGAAGTATTTCAATGACAGCGGTTCCAGAGCGTTGCTCAGCCATGTCTCCCATGTGTGTGTTTTTCAGAGTACATCCAGAAGTACGCCACAGAGGAGGCTCTAAAGGAACAGGAGGAGAGGGGGGGCGACTCCTCTTCCGAGAGCTCCATGTCAGACTTTTCGGAGGACGAGGCTCAGGACATGGAGTTGTAGTGAAGGGGGCGATCCTGTTCCTTTCGGCTCACAACGACAGTCCTTTCCTAAAGAGCAGAAACTCTATATTCATATTTAAACAAGACACTTTTTTACAGCAACACAAGGATTTTTATTGCTATACAAGGATTTGCAGTACGATATTGCAGAATATTACTTACTTAGGCATCCAAGACCACTTGCCCATCGCCCTCCTCTTTGCCCCCATAGCGTGTTTCGATCAGAAAGGAGTGCGTCATTCATTTCCACAATCTTTGGTGGCTTCAATTAAGGCTTTTGACAATGCATGTCCAAACTGAGCAGTGAGACCAATGCAGGACGAAGGAGGACTGACATAAAATACTCAAGTTTTAGCTTTCTTCTTGTATTTATTCGACACTTTTACTGGCTCATCGGGCATCTCCCTGAAAGAAGACGGCAGGATGACGGCCGCTCCATTTCTCAGCAGTCTCAAGTTCAAAAGAGCGCGGATTCCCATTTGTGTTGAAGCGTTACCGTACATCTTCAGAATTTTTTACACCCCGTCTCCCGAGGAGTTGCCATCACGATACTCGCGTCGAATGAGCGGGAGGCTGTGGCGCCGCAGCTCGTTCCCCGTGTACAGACTGCCGTGGCTGCAGACGGCCTCCGGGACAGGACCGCAGACCTGCTGACGCACCACACGAGAGCAACGCATCGAACCATGACAGAACCACAGCATGCGTGGGACTAGGCGTGTAAGTGTGCGTGGGTGCCTGTGCCTGTGCATGAATGTAATGCAGGGAGACTCGTGTTGTGAATTGAAAATCTGTGTTGTATTGACTCCTGAGCAGAAACCCCAAGACGAGGCTCACACACCTGATGCCTCGTTCGTCAAACACACATCTCCGCCTCCTCTCCGTTTTAGGAAAGTGTTTGTCATTCTCTGAATATCTCTGTATATTACGGCATGGCACTGAAGTAAAGTTGTGTAGCGCTTTGTGGAGCTGTAGAAAAGGGGGAGGACGCCTGCGTGCAGGGCCTCTGCAAGCCGGGTAGGTTGGGTGGAGATTATCCAGGTTCTTGTTGAATAATTGAACTTATTAACTTTGCCTATTGCTTGTGTTGAACTATAATAGGTGTTTGACTTGCGCAGGAATAGTTAGTTGTGGGGGTTTTTGGGGGGGGGGGGCAGGGGGGGGGGGGGTTGCGGGTGGTGAATCCTATCATTACGTATTGTTTGATACTTATATAACACAGTAGTTTCCTCACTAATTGTCCTGTAAAGATGAGGAGGATTAATACATCTTTGTCTGTTGGAGGACTCTTTAAGACGACATGTTGCACCCCTGCTCCACCTGCACCCCCTTCTTATGCAAATGCATCAAAGACGATTTACGCTGTCGAGTCAGAAGTTCTCTTTGTTTCAGCCATTCAACATTCTCATTTATGTATTTTCTTGCTGTTGATGGCCTGTTTTCCAAAATAGTGGGACCAAAATCTTATGGATCCACAGGCTTAGTTTCATTTATCCCCCAAAAATCTGGGATCGGGATAGACAGTTTTACGTTTAAGTGAGAAGATAGAAAGTTCCTTTCTGTGTCAAACCCTATTTGGAGTCTTAGATAGATAGATAGATAGATAGATAGATAGATAGATAGATAGATAGATAGATAGATAGATAGATAGATAGATAGATAGATAGATAGATAGATAGATAGATAGATAGATTGATACTTTATTGATCCCTCAAGAGGGAAATTTTGGTATCACAGCAGCATGTACAGGGAAGAAAATAGAATAAAAAGATACACATTATATACAATATAATAAGATAGAAATATTAAATTATTAAGTTAAATAAACTAAAACTGAAACAAAAGAATAACCTTCCAAAAGAGACAATAATAATAATTTGTAAAAGGAGAAGAGGAAGAGGAAGAGTAGCAACATCACAGCAGTACAGGGTTATTATTGTCATTATTTAGCCTGGGATGATTTATTACAGTAGTTCAAACTTAAATGGAGTAACAGATTTCTTCGGTGGACAGTTTAAAGGCCTCAGTCCTGGTTTACCCTGTTAAATTTCATGATGGTACAGTGGTATGTGTTTTAAAGCAGCCTTGAAGCTTGATACATGTTTGTAACATGCATTCATTGCATTACAGATCCATTTGATTTATTTCTGGAAGGGAACCAAATCAGAATTGTATTTTATCACCAGGAAAATGTACTATTTCTACTGGAAAGAAATGGATTGTAATTGATTGATAAGCCCTTAATATATTTTTCAAATTATATCAGGGTCTCTTCCATGGTGTCTTGCAAGAGGGTTCACCTTAATTTGGGATGTAGCATAGGTTGGTTAAACGAGCATCTCCCAATCTTTTTTCCCCGGCCGACTTTAACAGCCCAGTTAACGTGGCTCCAACGAGCCTCAACAACCTCGGTGTAGGTCTCGGGACGACATGATCCCACAAGCAATTGTCATTTTCATCAAAAAAACAAACCACTGTCCAGCCTGGCTAATCAGTGTATTTAGCTTCTTTTTTTTGTTATTAATGAGACGCATATATTTGATGGCTCTGATGTGTTTGAATGTTTTTATTTTTGTCTTTTAGGCCCTATCTCCAGGAAACAAGTGTAAATAACCCTGATTTCTTTGAAAAGCAAAAAAATTAATAAATGTGCTTTTCTTGTAACTAAAAAAAATAAACATCTACAAAATATATAACCTATTTTGAGAATTTTGCTTGTGTATGTCCGAGTTCAGGGGTTGATATAAGAAACAAATATTTATCCTTAAGCTTTCAAATAAATACTTTTGTTTGATTCAAAGGCCTTTGAGCTTCTCACCAGCAGGATGAAAGTCTACGTGGTCGAGTTTGACATTACGTGTCTCGTTTCTGTCCACTAAATGGCAGTCACACCGCCTGTCTCACCAGAAGTCTGTCCTTAAGTGACGGGGAATTACTAGGGCAAAACAAAGTGACTATCTCTGGCTGTGATGTTGGACATTACCTGATTGGTGATCCGGCATATCCCATGCAGAATTGGCTCATGAAGCCCTTTTGCGACACTGGCAGACTGACCCCTGAACAGCACACATACAATTACAGGCTGAGCAGTGCACGATCGGTTGTGGAGATGTCTTTTGGGAGATTAAAAGGACGATGGAGGTGCCTCTTAAAAAGAAACGACTGCAAGCTGGAGCTGAGCAAGAGGATGGCACTGACCTGCTGTGTCCTCCATAACATTTGTGAGGAACATGGTGATAATTTCAGTGTAGAGCACCCAGACAGGCCTCTAAACATAGAGCCTACTGCTCAGACAAACACAGAAGAGGCTGACGTCAGAGCTGCATTAATGAGGCATTTTAACAGAAGGAATGAGTGATTCTTTGAATACACCAAAGCTATATTTGTTGCAATATTTTGTAACACTGCAGTTTGTGTTTATTGAAATCAAAACTTTTGAATTGTATTACATTCTCATCCATTAAATGAACCATGTAATCTCTAAAACTTGCATTTTGTGAATCATTTATCAATCATCCTCAATCAACAACCCTTTCACACTTCTGGCCGGGATTAAAACCAACCAAGTTTTTATTAACTACCAATCATGAAGTAATTTGGATTTTAATCATATTTCATGTCGAAATAATATAGATTTGTATATGCAGCTAATCACATCACTTGGCTGTTTAATGTACACATTTATATAAAAGTAAATTGCATTAAAAACACAAACCATAATGCAAAATTTGCCTGTTAAGTGTTTAAGAAACTGGACCAGATATTTACATTATGCAAATTGTTTACCCAAAAAAATAACAGAAATCTTATAAAAAAATAAAACAATTGTAAAAAAATAAAATAAAATTACATGAAAAGCGGCAACCAAAATTATTTTCTAACTTGTGCCTCCAATACGGCCACCATGCGCCCCATGAGTCCAAGCAGGGATTGTGTGTCCGCTCTCATGTCCTGACACAAGGCATCATCCATTGCCTTGCTGTGCTGCAGGAACCTCTCATCTGCCCTTTCCAGATATTGAAGGATTTCCGAGGTACCATCTCTCTTCATCTTTCCTGTGTAGAACAATAATAATAAAAAACGAATACAGATCGTCATGGTGTTGTCATAGCATCGCATATAGTTGTTTTCAGCAGAGAATTACGCATATGTATCTGCTGTATAGATTATATTTAAAAAAATGTATAGCATCATACTACATCAATATCACTTCAGATTTCGCTCATGTCCCGTAATAAACAGTATATCAACATTATATAGTATATAGCAAGTCAATATCAGATTGACTTTATATTCTATTCTAAACTTTTATAAAAAGAAATTTTTGCTTTTCGTTCAAGGTAATATAATTGAATTTTGACAAAGCATTTTGTATTGCTGTTCAGAAGTTAAATAAAGAAATAGAAATTAAAGAAAAACATAAAACAATGTTTCAGTGCATGACAGTAATATACAATGTGTGTAATATAATATATATATATATATATATATATATATATATATATATATATATATATATATATATTATGGTGTGATAATTTGAACATACTCCGTTCTGAAGATGCTTCTCCAGTATGGCGTTATATTTGTGCCACAATCCTGAGCGCGTAATTTTACGTTTTGAGCACAGAGAACTATATTTGAGCAAAGAAAAACATATTCCGTGCGCGCAGTTTACTCAGGTGCCCTCTCCACAAACTGGTTTTCTGCGCGCAGGCAGCCGTTGCTGCGCTCTCTCCACCTCTTCACTCTGCGCTCGCTCGACTTGCAGCAGCGTTACATTTGTGCCACAAAACCAACCAATCAGAGAATTAAAGAAGGTCCATTGTGATTGGCTGTTGGTCTCCAATCACAACGCTAGTAGGACTACCTACAGCATCGCGGAAGCTCAGCGAGTTGTTGAAGTTTGCAGCATTTGTGCTGAATGCTAATGGCCTGGATTAAAACACTTGCTGTTCTCATCATTTGCTTCCCAGTGAGCACAAGACGTAATTTCAACGACCATTTTTCTGAATTATTTGAACTTCATTTTTAGATTCTGTAACAAGATGTGGCTGTGAGTCACTTGAGTTGGGATAGTATACCTGAAATCAGCTGCATCTCCCTCATCCTCACTTGATGATTCTTTGTGTAAAGGGAGTCAGAGTGCAGAGAACAGCCCTCAATTGCAGATTTATCTGGTCAACGTGTTTATTCAATTCAAACCATTTTATTTTGTTCAGCTTTGCAATCTGTAAACATGCAACATCCTGTCCCAAAACCCCCAAAATGTAAAAAACCTTCAACCGGGAGAAACCTGAGGAGAAAACAGCAAGGCAGTAGGTGTGTAGAGCATGAACAATTTAAAGATGTACAGTACAACCAATTCCTACGACAGAAATGATTCTAATATTGTGGATTACTAAGCCAGGGGTAAGGCAGGACCAGTGCAGGGACAACCATCATCAGACGTAACCTCCATCAGATGCAACCACCACCCGCAGAAACCTGTGAGGAGGGAAGCACAACGGCAAAGTTGGTCATTTGGGTTTATGATGACAGTAATAAACTAATAATAATAATAACAGCAGCAGCAGGTGTGTTAGAACACTAATTTATAGATGGTTTACTTATTACATTATAAACAAGATAACAATTCATCTGCAACTTATGGTATTTCTGGAGTAACATGTCCAGGTATATTACACAGTATCATGCTTTAAGCAGCAGTAACTTACAATGTGTTGGCCCTCTTGTTTACAGAGCACAACTTGTTGAATTCAGCCCTTCACCCTTGCAATCTGTATTTAGCCCCCATTGCTTTAAAAACGTATTTTCAATGTGAAATGCAATAACATTTATGGGTACAGCAACAACCTAACGCATTAGTAACACCAAACACACGAAAAATATTCTGGGATGTTTACTTTTGGTCCAGGTCATCATGCTGAACGCTAGCATGCTCCAAGCTAGCATGCTAACTAGCAAACTACCTGCGCTAACGCTAACTAGCTTAACAAAAAGGGCCGTCTTTCCTGTATCGGGTGGGCAGCACAAGTAAAACACCCGGTTATAGTTCCATGTGTGCTTCATCCAAACACTCCCGTACTTACAGAGTAGTGGAGCCGGTAGTCGTGGTTCTATCAGCCCGTTCATGTCGCTCTGCTGCCGTAACTTCGCCTCGTCCGCTCGGAGCTCTGCAGGCGTCTAAGAACTCGCGCATGCGCGTTACAGATGTGAGCGGAGTCACGTGTTTACAAGTAATGTTTGAACCTGCCCGCATTATTATGTCTTAAACGCATCTTATTAACAGCACGCAGTTTCATATTTATGACGTTTTAAGTGAAATATTAAATACGTTGAAATGACGTCTTCGCGTAGACCAAATTTCGCCGACCAGTTCATTAATTATTATGAAAATCTTAACGTTAATATCGTCTATCTTTCAACCTTACGTTACAACATGACACATTTATCAACAAATTGACGTTTTCTGGCACGTTGATGTTTCATCCCATTTTTAGACGGTTGAAAAGACGTTGAAATGAGGTCTTAGACGTTCAGACCTCATTTCAACCCGATTTCAACCATATTTCAACGTTGAAATTACGTCTTGTGCTCACTGGGATTCATCACGTCACATAATAAAAGCTTGATCCACACAGCAGACCTACCGGCATCCGGCGGGTGTGGCACCCTGCTCCGCTCCTTCTCATCCTAGCACGTGGGGACTCAAAGTTTCTTCTGGCCTCCTCAGCTCCTCGTTATATACGCGCACCCCAAGGTGCCGGCAGGGCTCATTTACCGGCTGTCGGTGATCATTAGACAGATTGCAGGTGGAAAAAGGGGCATTATCCTGTCAGCTGAGGTGAATCCGCCAGAGTGGCACAGGACGGGTTCGGGTTACGGCTCTTTCACAGTTGACGCTGAAATCCAGCCGCGCCGCCTTTGTCCTCTCCATACATTATGAAGGAGGCGTCTCATTGCCCCGCGCACGACGCGGCAGCTGCTCGCCAAATAACTTTTTAGTTTTTGCCTGAGCCTGTGCTACAGTGCTACAGGTAATTAGCAGAAGATGCCTCCCTTCTCTACGGAAGATTACCACAAACTCGTACAGAAGATTTTACAGCTGGAAACAAAAGTTAATCGGTTAGAGGTAAATGTAGAAGTAAATGGACCATGTGGGAACAACACCACTCTAGCAATGACTCAAAACAGTGGACAAGAGCATGCTAGAACCCAGCTAACTAGCAATGATGGAACTATGAAGAAAGTGGAGGACTCTGTGCAGGGTAATAAATCTACCAGCGACAATCCTCCCTGGACCACACTTGGTGCAAAGCCAAAGAGAAGACCAGACAAGGGAGAACGGATAACTGGCAGGACCCAGCGGCCCGATATCTGTGATCTGGCCGACTGGCCTGCGTTACCATCCAGGCATAACGCCTCCTCAACCCCCGTGCTTCGTAGAACAAAGCAGCGGACAACTGAGAAGAGGGGAACTACCAAGGAACCTCCCCAGCAAACAGGTGTAAATCTACAAAACAGGTTTGCTCCACTGTTGCAGGACCATGGATCCCCCTCTAAATTTCTGGATAACCCTCCACCACCACGCAGCAGGGTAAGACCTGCTAACTTAAAGCCACAGAGAAAGTGTAATGGGAAAATGATATGTAACCATTTTAAATGCTTCATTTGTTTAACCAGTTTATTAGTTGCAAGTGCTTAGGTCACAAAGGCCCTGACATAAGAACTGATGTCTCCCTCTTGGATTAGATGGTTCCAGCGTCATAGCTGTAGAGATTGAACAAAGTGTTTGTTATGTCTATGACCACCTTTGTTTTAGCATGTTGGGAGAGCAAGGACACGGTCAAAGAACTGACGTGTCTTACATGGATAAGATGTTCCCAGTACCCTGGCTGCAGAGACTCAACAAGATGGTCAAAGGTTTCTGTTGACGCCACCGATATCTAAACTTAGGTATAAGAACTGCCTCGATGTGTTGGGGGCAAAAAGGAGGTTCTTGACAGTCTACTGACCACGTAGCTGTTGTGACCCTCTTTCCCTTGCAAGGAAATAAACGGAGAAAAGACATACTTGACTCAGAGCCTTTGTTTCTTACTTAACGATTGTCTGTGCAAAATCTTTCACCACAATTGTATATATCCAACGATAGCGACAAAGATTCTTTGTTTATTTATGAGTTATCTCCATGGGAAACAATAGATGATTTGGACTGTGCACAATCTCACGATATCAAACGATACACTGCTAACCAAACGTCTACATTCACCCTCCAGGATCAGGAAAGCCCAACACGGTTTCCTCTCTGCTATGCCCCTGATGGGACACATCCAGTGGGGAAAACAGACCCTGCAAGGTGTGACACGATCCTCATTGCAGGAAACCATGCGTTTAATGATTTAAATTGCAATAGACCATTTCCCACCCTTCCGAAACGACTGCGCCAAAAACCACAACAGGAGCTTTTGCCAAGCTACGGGCACTGCGGAAAGGGCCGCAAAAGTGCCCGTTCATCTCCAAAAATGGTCGTGTTCTGGCTGGACTTTCACTCCAGTAAATCCACGAGATTGCCCGCCCAATGTTAATTGTTCTGTTTTCATTTCACTTTCCTCCCTGGGAAGAACGGTACTTATCCAGTGACCGAGGGATGGTGGCTGTGTGGCACCACCCTCCGCGTGTCTCTCCCCCCTCAGTGGAGCGGAATATGTACTCCTGTTCGCGTTACTGATCATACTTTTATTCTCACAGCTACAACAGGGACAAGCTAACGAACAAAACGAATGGCCGCATTGGACACTGGCCTTAACCCGGAAGTCAATTTTGCACCACACAACTCAATCTGGGGCAGCGATGTGCCTGACGAGTTCAAACACGCCAGTACGTCAGTTAAAGTTTTGTGGGGACTGTTTCCATGGACAGGAGTGGGAAAAAACACGCTACGACTGGAAACCGTTGATTACCGTTTCAAAAGCTTTGTAAACATGACTCTAGCTGGCCTTAAGGGTATTCGCGAGGAAATGACCGCCATGCGTTTAATGATTATGCAGAACCGCATGGTACTAGACCAATTGACCGCTGCCCAAGGAGGTGTTTGTGCTATCATAGGAGAATATTGCTGTACGTTTATCCCTGAAAATGACAAAGACGAAGGCATTATCCATCAGGCGATACAAAACATGACCAAACTTCAGGAATCTATGACAAGAGACAAATCTCCCTCCCCAGATTGGCTCACACATTTGTGGTATTCATGGAAAGGAGCATTAATACAAGCAGCTACTATCCTCTGTGTTCTCTTCGCATTCGTAATTTGCGGTATCCCATTGATCCGTCATACGATTGCCCAACTCTTGGCGAAACAAATAGCTATGTACAGCCTGGGGTCACCTGATGACTCACCAGCAAACTTGTTCCCTGGACGTGACTCTGACAATAACCCCAACAGTGACTCGGACTCCCTTGACGAGCTGAACACTTACGACCTCGACACATACGCATAGTGACATAGTGACACACTGTCTGTGTGCATTCCTGGTGTTGTAAATGTTTTTTGTTTCACAGTAGCTTGCTAAAACAATGAGAAATAACATTCTCACAAAAACAGCTTTTATCCCTGCATTTATTAGTGTCAAGTTTCGTGTGTTTTTCCTGATTAACCACGGCTCTGCCCAAACTTGAAAGAGCTTTCTCTCCGGTGGACGCAAAGGACAACTCGAGAACTGTTGATTTTTTGATCCTTTATTCCTCTTAAGGGTGGTTTGGTGGAAGAACAGAGCAGGTTGATAACCTTTCAAACAAAGCAAAACCCATGAATTAGTCGAGTACATTTCGATAATAACTTTCTTAAAGTAATAATAAATAAATGCGACTGAATTCCCAAACCAAACCAAAATTATTCAGATAAACCTAGGATAAGTCCCCATTACTTAATTTAAATGACACATTTCACTAAGTAAAGCAAAGCATGAACAAACAATAAATCATACTGTCCTACCAGTTGCGTCTCTGGGAGATTAGGAGCCGTGGCCACAGTGTCCTTTTCCTCAGGGCCGAGTGAGAGGGCCATCTGAGCTCTCCACAAACATTTTATGCCATGCGCTTCCTGTTCGTACGCAGGCACTTCCTGTGAG